TTAACTCTGTCAGTCTCTGAGGTGAAAGCAGCCATACATCCTTCAATGAATCACTCTGTTGGGAATTGAGAGCTGCATTTTGTTTCTTTGTTTTTGAACAATTTTCACAAACTTTTAATAACTTTTCATATGTAATGTTTTGAAGACAGCTGTCACTGATTTTTCTGTACCTCAAGTACTGCCTCTCCAATTTCCTTTTCAAGATTGCACATCGATGGCACACATATATTTCTTTCACTGTAGTCCAAAGCTCACATAGCCTACAATTTTCCTCTTGACAACAGGCATGTATGTCCAGTAGAATATCATTTTCATTATCACTGACACTATCAATATCCGTTTCACTTTCTGATTTTAGGTCTTCCTCGTTGCCCCAGCCATCATACCTCCAAGTTGGCAAATCCTTCATGTAGTCATTTGGTATAACAGGATGTAGCCACAAGTCTGGTGTGGCTAATCGCTCTATGAGGAGCTCCATGCCCTCCTCCAGACCTAAATCTTGAGACGGCCTTGGGCGAGACAGTGAGGCCATGGGACGGAAAAGAACGTCAACCAAGTAGGAATCCATTGAGAATATTGACCACCAATTGGAATCCATGTCAGCTGGTTCACTTTCCCTTCTTGAGATGACCCTCCTCAGGATGACAATGATGCCGAAAATATGCGCTGACATCCAAAATATGATGGGATGCCTTGCAATCATAAGCCAATGGTATCTTAGCTGAGCAAAAAGCCAAGTAGAGTTTAAATAGGAGATCAACCATAACCCAGATTCAAGAAAAATATTAGCTAATGGAAACTTGAGAATTGCAGTAAAAGCAAGCCAAACAACAAAGACAAATATGTTGTATACGAGCATTCGTATCAGAGTGCGAATGGCATGTTTCCATGCTCTCACTCGGACATCAAACACATTAAATATATCAGCAACTGCTAAGGCATTGGCCAGCACAAGTGATACTAAAAAGACATCATTCATTTGAGGCTGCAGAGTACACATGTAGGAATCGAGGGCAGTGTTTGTGAGAGACTCTCCCTTCTGCTTGCCATACGAAGTTACTCCTTCTGCTGTGACAACAGCTATATTTGGTATTCCACTTAGTCCTGTCCTTCTAAGCAACTGGGAAACCTGAAAAATATGGGAGAAGCAAATAATAATTGATAAAGATAAGTAAATAATAACGAGAGGAGAGAGAGTGAAGGATGAGGATGAGATGAGGTCATGTCAGCTTAACCAATCAAAATATGGTATTACAGTCTTTCATAGTCTCTATCTTCATTGGCTAAACAAAGCAAAATATAAAGTGGGTTCTGATCTTCAACACAGTGCATTAGGAGGACCAAGTTAATGTTATAAAAGTTTCATGGAAAAGGAGAGATATTCTACTATATGAACACAAACTCCTTATTTTTAGAAAGAAGAAAAAGAAAGAAAGACACTTACTTGTTCCCTTTCTTCGTACTTGACAGTGAAAGACGCAAGCTTAATCCGAGTTGACAGTCGGAGACCAAGAGTTGCAATCAGTAATGGTGGGTTCATCAACTCAGAGATATAAACCACACGTGGGATCTGTCAAGAAAAATGAACAATCTTTAGAACCCAATCTTCCAAAACAGAGCAAAAATAATAGCTAAAATGGGAAAAGGGGTTGAAGAAAGTAGTAATTTCATTTTTTACATGTATCGATAAAAATCACCAAAAAGTAGTAGGCTATATATCTCACATATCAAGTGGAGAAGGGAGGACTGGTAAAAAGAGAAAGCAAAGTTTTAGTTTCTATTTTTTTTTTCCTACACTGGTCAAAACTTGTGTATCTTCCGTCATAACAGCAATGATTTAAATAAAACAAGTCTATAAAGGCCTTGTGTCTAAGGTAGTGAATACAAAAATTAATACTTATATTCACTCACAAAGCTTTTAAATCTACTTAATGAACCAAAAGCAAAATGCTAGCCAGGCCTACTTGACCAAAAATAAGGGTTTCAATACTAGGTCATAGTGAAGGGGTAAAGCATATAATAAACCTCATACAATTCTGCATTACCTTTTCTTTACTGACAGCTGTAGTATTGAACCAAATTTCTTCAAGCTGTGTCAAGCAATTGACAACCTGAATTCTTGACTGTATTTGGCCATGAAGCCATGAAAGAACTGAAGCAGCAGTGAGATGTGTTGTTGACGCCAAAACAATGTGCTCTCTTCCTGCTGTCTGGCCATTGATCCAGCTACTCTGCATGTTTCCCTGTTTCCTTGGGGGCAGCACCAGTACCAGCTGTGGGTGACTCCAGCCTTGTCGTGCACAGAATCTAAAAGAATATAATAATTCATATAATATACAAAGCTTCACATACTGTTTTGTCTGTACAAATTTTGTGGGTCACCTTGTATACTTGAAACTGATTACAGGTGGGTATTTGCATCTACCCTATGACACTGTGTCTTTCAAAACTGATCAGTATTGCTTTAGTTACATGATAATGTTTTTATAACATTAGTGAT